TACACACAGACACACATACATATATATATATATATATATATATATATATATATATATACACACATACACATGTAAACAAACACTTATTTTGGATGCGATTAATCGTGATTAATCAATTTGACAGTACACGAAAAAATACAATTTTGTAAAAAGTTCATAAATGATAATCACCATCACCACCTATTTTTTATGTAAAACAATCACTGTAAATTAATCAAATAAATCTAAATAAAATGCAATAATAACTATTTATATGTCAAATGTAATTTGTCATAACATTTGATTTGATTAAATATAACGTATAATCAATAATAATAATAAAACTATGTAAATTAATGACTATAATTACATTATCAAATAAATCAAAATAAAATGCATGTGAAATAATAATAATAATAATAATAACAACAACTATGTAAAATGTTGTATACAAATTTGATAATAATAATACTTTGATTACACTGTTTTAAAATGATTCATATTTATACAATTATTTAATTTAAAGTTAATCAATAATAACAATAGCTATTTTTACCCTTTATATGGTGTATGTGTATATAAATATACACACAACTTTATTTAAATTGATAAATGTATATATTTATTAGATTACATTTATAATTTCTCTGAATAATTCCACTTTGTCTTATTTTACTTCCTTAATCTGAATTACATTTTTACATCCGATTTGCTACATCAATATAAATTCAGGAATTGAAATGACTCTCAATCCAATTCTGAATGGTGCCAATATCTGATGCTACAATGTTTAAAAAAAAATGTGTGCATGCCATAAGTGTGAGAGACATCGTATAAATAGTGCCTGTGTGTGTGTATGTGTGAGGGCTTGTATGAATAGACTCTGTGTGTGTGAGTTAGCGAGAGAACAGAGAGAGAGCAGAAGGACAACAGAGAGTTTATATAAACAGACTCGATGTGTGTTGGCTCCTGGACACTAATATTCATCTTAGCTGGCATTAACAGAGAAAGGACGCTCAAACCTTCCTCTATACAATAACATCACTGTTCCGCCATCTCTCACAAATCCACACAGACGTCTTTTCAAGAAATGAAAGAGAAAAAGCCCTGTATAAACAGTGCTGAGTGGAAGGAAACTCAATTACCCACACTTCCGTCGCTAAACCTTTCCTCTATCCGCTAGTCTTATATCAGTGGTTTTGTATTAAATAGTCAAATACAGCATGTCTGTCTAGTATGTCTATATAAATTTTGGATTCTTGCATGTCCATTTATTCAACATTTTTCCAAACTTAACACAATTTACCATCTTTACATGTGAGCATTTCCTGCACTGATTGTGTGGGGAAATATGTATATCTCATATATCTTTAGTTTAGCACACAGACGTTGAATTAGCACAGCCTGAAGCAAATTATATTAAATTTACATACAAATCATCAAAATATACTATAAGGGGGGTGACTAGGGAAATTAAATGTCAACACCTGTGAAACACGTGAAATGACATTTTCTAATGCGGTATGACCAGGAATATAAGTAACATAATGCTAGAAATATAAGTAACGTGTCAGAGAACCCAAGTGAACCATAAATTCCTTTCACCCTGTAACAGAAGTATCCAGATCACACAGCCGTCAAGCAAAGTTGAGAGGTCAACACAAGTCACTGCGGGCTACAGCTGTGCTTCATAAATTAGACCTCAACGGACTGCCGGCACAACAGGTGCCCTCTCGGCCTGAGGGGTGTTGGGACAGTCTAGCTCTTCACTTTGGTCTTGGTCACTCACATGCTGAGCTACAAACAACAAAATTAGCCCTTAAGCAATTGAGCTTCTCTTCTATTGGCTGGAGCAGATGGTGCATCCTTCAGTGACGCCCCTCGGCACAAGATGAGCGTCATGATCTTTCCAGTCTGTCAGACCTCTGTGACCCCCTGTTGGACAGCCACCAGTTACAGATGCCTGTCCCTTTATCACTGGGATAAAGTCTTTGAACTTCTCCCACTCATCATGTCAATGGCAATTACCAAATACACTGTATACATAGATGGGACGACTAAGGCAAAATAAACTCTGGATGCCTTTGCTTTAGACTTCAAGTATGCTTTCTTTTCCAAAAATGTAAGCGTTCAAGTGCTCTCAACAGTGCTCTTCAACACGCATTACAACACCACTAAAATCAGCACAGAAAATATGAAAGTTGTCCACCTTTTCCTATGCAACTTGTTAGAAACAGTGTCTAGTTTAAGAGTGTCATAAAAGTCCATTAGTAATAATAAAATGTCATTTTTATAACTAGTAAACTGAGGCTTAGGCCATTTCTGTACAGAGAGAGGGGACTGGGCGTGTTATTACCTGTGTCTGTCTCATCTCTCAGCTGTGTTGGACAGTAGCATCTATAATAGCAAATAGCAAAGCAACTACATCAAAATAGTGATGTTACCACATCACTACTGAGAAATGCAGTGCTATAGCTTTTTAGCAGCAGAGCTATTTTATTAGTATAAGTCCTGACAACATGGTTCATTCTACGTGTGTGTGAGAGAGAGAGAGAGAGAAAGGTAGAGAGAATGAAAGAGAGCTTTCCACAGATACTGAAAATAACTTCTGATGAATAATTAAATAAATAGAGCTGTCTATAGATGAAAGCAATTAGTATAGTATACTACTATACTAATTGAGTATAGTGTAAAAAAAAAGTGCAAGCAATTTCTGATAAATAATTAATAATATTTGTATTTTTTTATTTATTTTCACCATCTTTCACTGATATGTTAGTAGGACACAAAAAGACAAGTAGAAGCGGACTGTGGACATCTTAAAGGAATAGTTCAACCAAAAATGAAAATTCTGTCATTAATTACTTATCCTCATGTTGCTCCAAACGAGTGTTAATTTTGTCAGCCAGTTTTTAAGGGACAGAAGAGATGAATTGCTGAATAAAGTCGTTATTTCGGTTTTCTTTGCGCACCAAAAGTATTCTTGTAGACCATTACATCATAACATTACAGTGGAATCACTGATGTCACATAGACTATTTTAACGATCTCCTTGCTACGTTTCCGAGCCTTGGTCGTGTTAGGACCCTTGCTTTCTATGAGAGCTCTCGGATTTCATCAGAAATATCTTAAATTGTGTTCCGAAGATGAACGAAGGTCTTACGGGTTTGGAACGACATGAGGGCGAGTAATTAATGACAGAGTTTTCATTTTTGGGTGAACTTTCCTTTTAAGTAACAGAATTTTTTTTAAATAGTTTTAGCGTTAGTGGACTATAATATCCCTGTTTCAATGTCAATAGTTGTGTTTGTTCGTGTAAGTGTTCGTTAAAGATCGTCTCTTACATCACTGCAGGATGTCGGCCAGTTTGTCTTGGTAGTACTCGTAGTTCTCCTGGCAGTCCTCCCAAAGCGTGAACGTCTGCTCGTCGTTCTCCACGAAAGTGTTCCAGGTGTAGGTGAAATCCAGCGGCTTCATCACGCGCAGTTTGCAGCCGGCGGCCGCCAGCGCCTTTAGCCCCGCCTGGATCTCAGGCTCCTCCCACTCGAAGAGCCGCGCGGAGTAGATGGACAGATGGAGGCTCTTCCTGGCCTTCAGGATCTCGGCCAGCTTCGCGGCGCAGGCGGCGCACGGGCTGGACGACATGTACCAGGTGATGGTGTATTTGAGGGCGGGGTCGTAGTTGGGCAGGACCTGCTGGAAGAAGGCCTCCTCGGCGTGGCCGCTCGCGTGCTCGTCCTCGATGAAGCCCCTGAGGAGCCCTCCGGAGCCGGGCCCCTGGTCCACCATGTAACACAAGAAGGTTTTGTTCCGGCCGGAGGAGTACTCCACGTTCTTGAACTGGAACTTGTAGAAAAACGGGTCCATGCGATCCCTGTGGACACATGAGGAGGTGAATTCAAGACCTGCATGGCGCCCTCTGCTGGAGCCTCCTCGCATTACAAGGTATTTTCACTCTTGAAAAATGCATAAAAGTATTTAGGAGGAGTTCTACCTGTAATATTTCCCAGCAGTCCAGAGTCTGTGGTACGACTGGATTAAAACTATTGATTTCTCAATTTTGATTAACCCATATAATATCTTTATATTTTGTCTTGAATATATATATATATATATATATATATATATATATATATATATAACATGTCCTTAAAACCATGATTAAAATAAGAAGTGTGAACCATTACATTTAAAACTTTCATGAACTGGTAACCTCACTATATTCAAATATAGGACACTATTTATTTGTTTATTTCATTAAAACCAATGTATTGCATTGTTTCAATCTATGTCACTTTATTGGATACTGTACATCAGTGTATGAGAATATAACCTGTTTGTGACAAGTGTTTGCTGGAACCTACTGTGGAGAGCAGTACTGCAAGGATTTGATTAAACTGTCTGGAGATTCTTTGCTCTCATAGCCTGCCAAATGGCAGCCTGCAGTCACAATTCCTCTGTTAACTTCTGCAGAAGTTTTTTTTTATGGATATGTATCTGTATCTACAGCTGCTAGGGGCAAACATGCCTCTGATAGGAGTGCTTTCACTTGTAAAATAAAAAAGAGGGAGATTAATATGAACATTTATATACAAGCTGCATTAGAGTTCCATTAAGTGCATAGAGAATTAGGAGTGGACTTCAATCAAATTGCAAAGAACCCAAAACAAAACTGCAATCCCTTTGCAAAGCAGCACTTGAACTCAACAAACACAAAGTAATTTCTTTAACAAAAGCTATTGCATTCAGAGTAGGCTGTATTTTTTCTGCTATATTTGCAAAGCAATTATTGCTGTGTTCCTAGAGGCAACTCCTGTGTATATGAATAAATGTCAAAGGATTAATGAAACTCTCACACACATGCACAGCCTTGCATACTTTGATTCAAGTAAAAAGAAAGAGCTGAATTGAAGTCCCAGCACCTTTGACAACGAGGAGAAATGGGATATTGCCCACGCCGGCATCCCACATTGGCCTGCTGCTGTGGCTTATCTTAAATTAAAAGGTGAAAAAACATTAAGTTCCAAGGTGCTTGTAGGCTTTGCAGCAGTGCTACCCTTGATTTTATAGTCTGCTGTCAGACATGCACAGTAGAACAGTAGAAGCACAAGGGTAGCATGCAAATAAGTCCTTTATCTACCCTATTGATCTGGCTTTCGTTTCCCAAAGCTGTGGCACCTTTACACATGATGTTCCATCTACAGCACTAGTACAATGCAGAAATAGTTCATTTAAAACCTCTACTGTATATTCCATTATTTCCAACCCCTGTTCTTGGTGGCATATCTACATATATATTTTGAATATCTCCTTTACCTCTCCTGACCCATCCATTTCAGATCTTGAAATAGGTCTCCTACAAAATATCTGATGAAATGAATCAATGTTTGATTAGGAAGGCTTTGATACAGAACGTATACTGTTGTCCTGTGCCCCAATTCAACTACTATACTCTTTTTGAGAAGAAAAAAAGTAGATACTTATGAACGTGTAGCAGAAGAGTAGGCAAGCTTTGGGACACACTATCATAAAAATGCGCTCTGTTGCATTTTGTCACTGTAAACTGGCCTGTCAATCATCCTGTCACAGTTAACATCCTCATATACACATTACATATATTATTGAATAAATTGAAAACACTAAAATAATTATTCCTGCCATTTTGGAGAGAAAACAAGTAGCACACTGCTTTGCCAGTCATGGGTCTTTCATACTGAAAGCTCTGCTCATGTTTTTTGCATAATGATACATTTAAAATTGTCCATGTCCAATTCATATCCTTATACAAGTTCACAATGTTGTTGCAGATGAAATATAACTCAGATAACGTTAAATAAATATTTAGTTAGATATTGATTATTAATAATTCAACCCCTTTGAGGGCGTCAAAGTACTACTTAACTGTTGCTCTCATGAATATCCAGCATATTTATAGTTCGTTTTATTTGTGTTTGTAGTTCCGAACCGAATCTTTCTCCATAGCGGATTGGGTTGTGGACAATATCAGTCATGCTATGCAAGTGTGCACGGTTCCATCCTGACTGTGACCGTCAAATCTTGCACTCATTAAAAATTCAAAATTTGCCACCTCAAGAAATGTTCTGACAAAGGTTTCACATTTGCTCGCTTTGTCCCTGATTGTCGCATGCCTTGTTTGGGGTGATGTATACATTTGAATTAGGGATGTCACGATGATGAAATTTTCATAACAGTATTTAAACACCGGGGGGCAGGGCTTTGGGTGCTCCCCCTCAGTAAAAATCGCGTTCCGGGCCTCCTCTCCCTTGTCGGGCCCTTGGAATCGTCCTAAAATAGTCATTTAGAGTACTTTGACTTTTTTTGGGGATTAAATTATTGAAATAACACTCGATTGTCTATTACATTTTGTACTGTGTATATATATACAGTATATCAGGGGTGGCGAACGTCGGTCCTGGAGAGCCGCAGCCCTGCAGAGTTTTGCTTCAACCCTAATCAAACACACCTGAACAAGCTAATCAAGGTCTGAAGGGTTATTAAGAGGCTACAGGCAGGTGAGTTTTAATTAGGGTTGGAGCTGAACTCTGCAAGGGCTGCGGCTCTCCAGGACTGGAGTTCGCCACCCCTGCAGTATATATTAGGCATGGGGTTATCAAAGTATACCGCAATTTGAAACATTTTCTGTTATACCGTTCCTGCGGTATGCGCTGTTTTTCATGTCTCCTCAAAGACTGAAAGTGTAGGAAGCCCTCAGGTTAAGTGCAGTATAGAGAGTAACACGATTCCTCCCCCTCCTGTTGGTGCGGGTATGAGGGTAAGTAAATGATGACATTATGATTTTAATTTTTGTTTGGACTTTTCTTATAAATTGCAAACTTCCTGTCATCGGTCTTCTAAAGAAATCCACAATTCCATAGCTGCCATGCTTTGTGACACCACTGACAAAGTCAGTAAAAAACGTTCCTTTGCCAAAAACTGGCTGATGCAGCTACTCACAAGTCTGGAAAAAACAAGCAGTCAAAAGAAAGTTATGTGTAGCTGCTGAGAACTGTCAAAGCATCAGCGAAAGGTCAAAAGACCTTGACCAACTTAATGTACATGCCAAGCTGTGTCAGTAATTCTGTGCTGTTAGTTTGCCTGTCCATCACTGTCCTCCAAAGACTCATACTAGGCATGGGTGATAAAACGGTATAGATATTTATTGACGGTACACCTTCGATAACGATATACAAAATGTCCGATATAGTGCATGATATAGGCACGTGCTATGAGCAGAGGCGGACAAAGTACTCAACTCCATCTACTCACAAGTCTGGAAAAACAAGCAGTCAAAAGAAAGTTATGTGTAGCTGCTGAGAACTGTCAAAGCATCAGCGAAAGGTCAAAAGACCTTGACCAACTTAATGTACATGCCAAGCTGTGTCAGTAATTCTGTGCTGTTAGTTTGCCTGTCCATCACTGTCCTCCAAAGACTCATACTAGGCATGGGTGATAAAACGGTATAGATATTTATTGACGGTACACCTTCTTCGATAACGATATACAAAATGTCCGATATAGTGCATGATATAGGCACGTGCTATGAGCAGAGGCGGACAAAGTACTCAACTCCATTACTTGAGTGAAAGTACAGATACTGCTGGTCAAATATTACTCCATTACAAGTAAAAGTTGTAAAGACAGATTTTTGCTTAAGTAAAAGTAAGTTTAAACTTTTAGAAAACACGTCACGAATTTGTGGAGGTTTATTCCTTTTCACTGCATCTCTTATGTTTTTAAATGCAATCTGCGTGATGGGCGATTCGGTTCTTTGTATTAAGCAATGCATAAATACATGATGCTGTTTTGTTCATAATTGTTTATGCAATTTACAAAATTATATTTGATTTATATTAATTTAATATAATTTAGTTAATTTAGACGTAATGCACAGTTTTTTTATAGACAGTTATTACCTTGCGTTGACAATTTAAATCTGCTGCATTATTTTGCTCATTTCGCCCTCCTGTGGCCTCAGGAGACAAGCCAAAAGTTTCCTTAAGACCTATTTAATCTGCATATAAAACATTAGAAATTAGATATTTGTTTCATTTTTATTGTGTTTGACTGTTAAAACAAAAAATTAACCCAATTTATTGTTTGTCTCAATAAATTGGGTTAATTTAAAAATACAGTGGTTAAATTTAAAAAAAAATGTAACATTTGTTTTGAAAAAGGTTATAACAAATGTCAATAATTATCGATACTGAACGATATGAAACATTATACCGTTGATAAATTTTTTAGCTATATCGCCCAGCCCTAACTCTCTCACACACACACACACACACATAGTCTGGTGTGTGCCTGGCTAATTGAAGACCATTAAATACACATGGCCTCAGGAGCATTGCTAGCATGGTGGATATTGAATAATTTAAAAGCAGTTCATCTAAATGGGAAATTCTAAAGGATGCTGTTCTAATAACATAATCAACAATGCTGTGTTAGTGTCTGCGTGCATATTACATTGTCTCAAAAAGAATTAAAACAGCTGAATTAAAACAAATCCACAGTGATTTAAAATCTCAAAACTCATTTACTAAATGGTGCGGAGTCTGGATTGTTCAGTAGTTTTGTTTGTTTGTTTTCATGAACCAACCTTGCAGCTTAATTTGATCCCAGTAGGTTCTCTGTGAAATGACATTGCAGAAATCTGAACCACTGAGTTGGCAATTCAGTATTATGATATGTCATGCAACGTGAAAGTATCCTAAACAAAACAAAACAAGGCTGAAAGCTTATTTTCTCTGCTTTTACAAAACATGTATTGTTAGTAATCATCTAATGGTGTTATACTTTTAGTCATTTTTAATTTGAATTACCTTGACTTTTGAGACTTTTTTTTTTAGCATTTTTCTTATATTATTTCTGAACATGTATGTTCAAGACACATTTTTACAATATGTGCCTTCATATTT